GTGGTTTGCGCTTTGTGTTTGGTGTCTGGGGTTTGGGGTTTGGCGTTTGGTTTTTGGTGTGTGGGGTTTGGGGTTTAGGGTTTGGTGTTTGGGGTTTGGGGCTTGGGGTTTGGGGAATGGCGGTTGGGGTTTAGGGTTCGGTGTTTGGTGTTTAGTTATGGTGTTGGATGCGTGGTGTACTCCAGGGGAGGGGGAAAGGGGAGTGGGGCCGCCACATGCCTTCTACGCCGCTGGGGGAGGTTTGTAGTATTCATTCGCCCCAAAAAGCAAGTGTATCGCAATCCTCCGCACAAGAAATTGGATTGTAGTCCTTCGCAAGAGGATACCGATTGTAATCCTCGGCGGACGGAATTATAGCGGAACCCTTTACAAAAGAAATCATACAGTAATCACCCACAAAAGCAATCCGATTGGAATCCTCCACCAGAGGAATCCGATTGTAACCTCCCACGAAGAAATCCGAGTGTAATCCTCCACAAAAAAGAAGGTTGTTACAAGCCTCCTCCAAATTAATCCTATTGCAACCGCCCTCGAACGAAATCCAAATTTAATCTTCTGCATGAGGAATCCGAGCGTAACCATCCCCAAAACGACTGCTGATGAGGTCCTCTACAAAGGGAATCCCACCGTAACCCTCCTACACAAGGAGTCCCATTGCAATCCTCCACGAGGGGAGTCCGACTGTAGTCCTTCACGGCATAATTTTTTATCGTATTGAGTTATCATTGAGGATTCAGGGGTCCGGCAGATCTCCCCAGGTTCGAACTTGCCAGATTATCAAACATATTATGCATTTCCTCCAACCACACCTTTTTATCCCTCTTCTCTCCGGCCTCCTGCATGCTCATCGTCGTCGCCTCTCCTGCCATCACTCGTCGTGCTCCTCGCGGGCCTTCCGTTTGGGGCGAGGAAGGTGCCACTGTTGAGGACGAGGGAGGAGGATGCCGACGAGGATGAGGATGTCCACGACGATGGCGATGATGGTTAAAATGAAAAGATAGAGGATGAGGAGGAGGATGAGGAGCAGGATGGTGGCAGGAGGGCGAGGAGGATACTGACGAGGATGTGGCGCAGGGCGCAGAAAGGAATCCGAAATGTTGGAGAAGGGAAGGCCCCTACCCCACCAACCTCGAGATCATGACCCCTCCCCTCATCACTATTGTCGCATATGCTCTTCGGGAATGGAATCTGATATGGTTTGCGAGAAGCAGAGACGGCGGATAGGGATGGGGATGAGGAGAAGCAGCAGCAGGAGGAGGAGGGAGAGGAGGGAGAGAAGCATGAGGAAGCAAATTGGGGAGGAGGAAAAATAGAGGGAGGATATTAATCCGCAGTCGGTTGTATCGTGTGTGCATGTGTACGCGTATGCATAAATGAGTCAATGCATGTCTGTATGCGCACGTATGTATATAAGTACATCTGCAAGTTCACATACAACAGCGATGCCAAGAGGCCGGTCGCCATTCCGATCATCTCAAGCATCGTTTGGATGCGGCCTGTGCGACCAAGGGGCCCCACCTTTTGCGCGCTGTGGTGACTTCACTCGACCGCTGGAGGGACAAGTTTGTGTCTGTGCGCGTGTGTGCGCGTGTGTGCGTGTGTGTGTGTGTGCGTGTGTGTGTGTGTGTGTGTGTGTGTGTGCTTGTGTTTCGTCTGTCTGTCGTTAGTCGTCTGTCGCCCGCCGTTCGTCTGTCTTCTGTCGTGCCACAGGGCTCCTCCGTGCTGATAGAAAATATGTTTGCGCGTTCCTCGCCCGTTGTGTCGCTTGTCGTGCCGCCCGCTCTGTCGTTTACTACGCCTGCGTGCGGGGCCCCCCCCCCGGGCCAGTGGTCGGTTCGTCCTCCTCTTCTCCTCGCCATCCACGCCCAGGTGGCATGTAGCACTGCTTCCCGATTCCCTCTGACCCCGCGCGCGCGGGGCCCCGGCCGCTGCACTTCATTCTCTTCGCTTCGACGTTGCACGCGAGGCCGCGAACCTCCAAAACAGTTTGTGTGTGTTTGTGTGTGAGAATGTGTTTTGTGTGTGTGTGTGTTGTGTGTTGTGTGTGGTGTGTGGTGTGTTGTGTATTGTGTGTTGTGTGTTGTGTGTTGTGTGTTGTGTGTTGTGTGTTGTGTGTTGTGTGTTGTGTGTGTGTGTGTTTCGGCCGCGTCCTTGCCCCTCCTCCTCCTCCTGCATGGTGGCACAAGTCGCCCTAACGGCACCCCCGTTTAGGCCTGTCCGCCTTTCCGCTAGCGCAGACGATCCTTGACTCGTGTGTGTGTGTGTTGGTGTTGCTGCGACCGTCCGCTTTGCACCTTTAAGTCGGCTGCGGCTGGCGAGGTCCGAGACAGTCTCTTCTCCCTGCATCTGGGCGTGTGCCCTGCGCACACAGGCACTTGCACGGCCCCCAGAATGTTCTATGTGTATCCGCTCTTGCGGTTTCTCCCTGCGTGCGTCAGCCTTCGGCCTGACCCCCGTTTGCAAGGCCAGGTGGTCATTGGACTAAGTGCGGTCCGCCTTAGTACAAGTTGCAGTGTGTGGAGCGCCTTAGTACCTGGCCGATGGAGGAAAGTGTGTGTGCGTGTGTGTGTGATTTGTTGTGTGTGTGCGTGCGAGCGTGCGTGCGTGTGTTTGTGTGGGCGTGTGCGTGCGTGCGCGTGTGCGTGTGCTTGTGCGTGTGCGCGTGCGTGTGTGTGTGTGTGTGCGTGTGTGCGTGTGCGTGTGCGTGTGTGTATGGTTGTGTGCGTGTGCGTGTGCGTTGCCGTATGCGTATGTATATACGTATGCGTGTGCGTATGCGTATGCGTATGTGTATGCGTGTGTCTATGTGTGTGCGTGGGTGTCGGTGTCGGTGTCGGTGTGGGTGTGGGGGATGGGTCGGCCTTTGGTCACATTGGTGACGATGGCCACAACGGCAACGACCGCGACTACAAATGGCGATCATGTCGACGGCCACAACACCAACAAGGGCGACCGACGACCTCGACGGCCACCACGACGACCGCGACGACGACCAGGACGCCCTTGACCACCCGCCATGAAGGCAATGGGTCCTAAGGGAAGCGGGTCCTAGAACAAGGGGTTCTCCCCAGAACCAGCTCTTCATCCCGAGTAATTTTTGACGGCCCAAGGGCGTGTGTAGGGCCCAAGAAACCCGAAAGTGGCGAAACGCGTCCAGGACCCGTTTCCCTTTGGATTTCCTCCCAGATATGTCGCGCTCCGAGTTTCTCGATGCGCAGGCCGCCGCGGGCCCAGGGCCTCCCGACCCCTTCCCCAGAGCCGGTTGCTCATGCATCCCGAGCCGTTGTTGAACGGTCCCGCAGCCCGAAAGCGGCGTTTGGAGGCCAAAAACTGCGACTACAGTGGAGACCCATGCCAAGAAACATCCTGCTTGCCTCCAGGGTGCCATGGTTTTAGGTTTCTATGGTTTTGCGATGGGAAGCGTGACGTTCCCACACCAAAGATCTATAGACGCCCTGGGGTCTCAGGGTTGGGTTCCTTGTGGAAGGTTTTTTTGTGGTCGGGCCTCCACGGTAGCCGCCGCCTTGAATTTGTTCGAGGCCGCGGATGCCAGGGAAGCGACGGCCCAGACCTCCGAAGTGTTGCTTGTCTTGCAGCGTGGACCCCCAGGAGGTCGGAGCCCCTTCCAGGAGGGGATCGGCGCTGCATACCCGACCCGTTGCCTGACGGCCACGGGGCCCGCCGAGGGCCCCAGGAGGCCGACAAGTGTAACCACCACCCCGCCATGATATCTCCACGACGCAAGGTCATCGTGTTCTTCATCGTTGTTTTGCCGATCGGCGCGGGCCCTCGCACCCCCCCTCCCCCCCATCCCCCATGTAGTGGATCTTGGCTGTTTTGGGCGCCTGTTTCACGCAGGTGGAGGCTCCCCCATGAGACGCACTGCTGCAAACCGTCGCATTCAGCAGAGGTCTGGAGCACCCCCCTCCCCGTGCCAGCGACCAGAACCACATACCGGACACAGCCTCTTGGGCCTCTTGGGGTCTCCTGGGAGCGTCCTGGAGCCTCCTGAAGCCTCCTGGGGCCTCCAAGTGCTTCTGGGGCTTCCTGGGGCCTCCTGGGCCTCCTGGGCCTCTTGGGGCCTCCTGGGGCCTCCTGGGGCCTCCTGAGGCTTCCTGGGACCACCTGGGGCTTCATAGGACATCCTAAGATCTCCTTCCAAGAGGCCTCCAAGAGGCTCCCAAAATACCCCCAAGAGGCCCCAAGAGCCTCCCCGAGGCACCCAATACGGTCCAAGATGCCTCCAGGACCGCCATGAGGCCCCCAAGACGTCCCAAGAGGCGTCCAAGAAGTTCCCAAGATACATCAGAAGAAACTCCGAGAGGCATCCAAGAGGCCTCGGGCCATTTTGCTGGCTGGTTTCCTCCCCTTCTTCCGCCTACTCCTCCTCCTCTTCCTCCTCCTCCTCCAATTCCTCCTCCACCATCCCACTTTTGGGGTAAGACGGTTTGCCCAACCCTTTGTTACTCTGTATGCTCCCTCACTTCCCTGGTCACCTCAATTCGCCTGGGCATCGTTTATGCATGGGCTGGCGGGGATACGCGTAGCGTCAAGAATTATGAAGGGCGCGCCGCGAAGTCAGGGGCATTTGGGGTAAGACGGTTTCCCCAACCCTTTGTTACTCTGTATGCTCCCTCACTTCCCTGGTCACCTCAATTCGCCTGGGCATCGTTTATGCATGGGCTGGCGGGGATAGTTACGCGTAGCGTCAAGAATTATGAAGGTCGCGCCGCGAAGTCAGGGGCATAGCATACTCACACATCGTACACACGACATGTCAACAGTATGTGCGCCTGCACAAACATAAACACAACACACGCATACATTGCGGCTACAATATCTGATTATATGCATATATGTTTATATATATGAATGTGAATATAGCTCTGGCTCGAGTTCTCGGAGTCCGCCAGAGCGTGGGCGATATGCCCACTGTCCTGAAAGTCGGGCTTCTATGTCACACACTGACAGTCTACATGCGTCTCATTTCTTGGAATCCGATGTCTCTGCAAGACTACGACAAACGCCTGGGTATTTCTAAGGAGCTCGAACACATAGATGCCGTCCTCCTCTCCGGAACGCAGACCAAGACCACGTCCTCCTACGAGACGCACTCGACGGCGGAGTTTCTCATGCTGAAGTTTGGATGGCATCGCAGTAATAAGAACACGACAGGCAACAAATCATGCGGCACTGAGATTTGGCTGAGCAGACGATGGTTTCGGAAGACACACATAGTCAAGATCTGGCAGCCTCCACCCGCTATTCGCGGCCGTGTAGGCGCTACGCGCGTGAAGAGCGCGCTGTTCGACTTCACCTTCATTACAGCCTACTTCCCTCCGAGATCGCAGCGCATCGCCACTGCCTCCAAGAACGAAGTCATCATCGACAAAATGCTCTGCTATCTGCACGACATTTTCTCGAACTTGCCGAATCGTACTTGCGTGTTCATCGGCACCGACCTGAACGACAGCCTCGTGCGCACCCACTCGACAGAGGACGACGACGCCACCATAGGTGTCCATGCATACGGTCAGCAGCACTACGCGGGCGAAGCTTTCCACACGTTTCTGAAGGACTACGCCCTGTGCGCGTCGAACACGCACTACCCGTGCGGCCCTACTTATCACGGCCTACGAGGGCACTCAAGCTACATCGATTACCTGGTGATGCCGATACGCTATCTACCGCGAGTACGTCGCCATAACATCGCTTACCGACTGACCAAACGACTCCGAGCATTTCCGTCTCAACGACTACTGGATCACATGATGCTGTACATCGACGTGGACTGCACCCTAACTTACGACAAACCCCAGACAACGCCGCAGTGGGACTACACACGCATATTCTTGGCCTGGAAAGATGAACAATTTCCCGAATGGGCGAAGCAGCTACGCGACGACATTGAGTCAGACCTGTCTAACTACCTCAATGAGAACGGCTACCGTGATATGGCAGACTGGGCAGAAAGACGCACGGTGGAATCTGGATGGCAATTATTGATATCTAAGATTCTAAGATACGCGCACGAGCTCTTGAATATTTTGAAGCAAGGAAGTCCACGATCGAGCTAGAGTACCAGCAGCTAGCAGAGCAACGTCGTCAAGCCCTACACGCACGCACACATGCTCGGCAGATTTTAACAGACGACCTAGAGGACGCGCTTGCTCTTCACCGTTGCAGCGCTGCCTGCAAAAAACTTCGACGTCGATTACGTGACCTCCGAGATGAACAGCACTTTCACGAACTACAACAAGCTGATGAGGCAGGACTGGAAGCAGAGGTTTGGCGAGCTTGTCGACGCCTTGCAGGCAATGGAAAGGGCCCTGGCAAACGTTGCTACTTCGATCTCCCCGACGCTCGCCCCTCTGTTCAGACATGGACTGAAGATATGGCACTTCCTGGCGCGGAAGGAGGAATGGTGGCGGCACCGGTTGATATCGAGCACTTCATCGACACCGCTGCGTCGAACGACGAGCGCTTCTGCCCTTCTGCACATCAGTGGAGACACGCCCAGTACGACTTCGACGCGATCAAACGCCAGCTACGGAAGCATTGCAAACGCCGACCAGCTGCTCCCGAATGGTCGCTACCTGCAGAGATCTGGTCTCTTTTGCTCGTCGATAGAAGTGAAGATCGTAAAAAAGACGGCAGCCGTGAGTACGACCACGCGATGATCTTCCCTGGCCCCCTCCTCAGCGATGCGATTCTCGCCCAACTTGCTGCGGTTCGTCAACACCAACGGCTCAATGCTTGGTGGAACCTCTCTCAGACTTATCAAGTAAGCAAGGTGAACAATAAACCACGTACTCGAGGCACTCGATTACTACATGGATTATGCACGTTCGGAAAGGCATGGGTTGCTTCAAGACAGCCACTCACATCCACACCATTGCATGATACTGAGCACGGCTACGCGCGAGCACGATCACGCCCAGCTGCGATTACAGTCGGATTAGCACTGCAGTGGCGCCTCACCAAGCAGCAACGAAGCCACATCGCCACGAAGCACGACATGACGAACGCTTTCGCTTCAGTGAATCATTCCCACCTCGACGACGCCGTGGACAAGATATATATCCCTGGCGACTGTACGATCATGAAAAGCAGACATCGTCGAGCAGCATGTGTGATTAGCGACGGGATCGACACTCAGGGATACCAGAACACCGTCGGTTGCTTCATGGGAGATGCCGATGCTGCGAACAAGTTCCGCGTGGCCTTCATGCAGCCCACTACCGAATGGAATGATGCACTTACTACCGATACCATCACATCGATGGTTGCGGGGTGCGAGTTCACTGGCACCAACGTCGACCTCAGCGTTCGCAAGTACGCCGACGACCTCACCAAGACCCACATGTGTCACGATGCGCAGATGGCGGCCTACAAAGTTCAACCATCCGACCAGATCCTGAACGACAAGCTGCGTACCATCGGACTGCAGCAGAATGCGGGGAAACAAAGGCTCTTCTACCGACGTTCGTCGGCACTGGCGCTCACAGATACGCACGCGCCATGCATGATCGCAAGATACCAGTTGACGGCGAAGTCCATTCCTCGACCCTGTTCTTAGGCTCCATCATGCAGGCTAACGGCCACAACCGCGCCGAGGTTAAGGAACGGTGTATCGCTGCGGCTCGCGGATGGCATAGTATGGGACGTTTCTGGAAGAATTGCCGATATCTGAGACGTCGCAAAATGGTTTTCAGACGTCAGGTACTATCGGCTGCTACCTCTGGACTCGAAGCACGTGTACTGACAAGAGCACAACTCGATCAGATAGACGCCTGCGTAGCTCGTTACGCTCGAGCCCTACTCCAGGGCACCGCATATATCAAGCAGTCCGCCGACGACGACGCCACCTCTGGCACCGCCGAAGTTGTTCGCAATATCTCATCTCATGCAGTCTGGAAAAATTTGAAGTTGGCACCGCCTTCCCTGGACGCAGATCGTGCGCATCAAGCGATAGCAACGCGTTGCACGCGAACCTGACCATCACGCTCAACTACTAGCCTGTGTTTTTGGCAAACTACTCTGCGAGTTCACGACGACGTTGGACTTCCCCTGGGCCCCATGTGCACACAGCCTCTACATACAACGCCCGTGGCTCCCCAGATGGTAACGGCCCCACACATATGATCAATCCTTGGCGCAAGCAGTTCCTTGATGACATGAAGTTGCTGAATGTATTTGCAGACGGACGAGCATGCCTAGACGTCATTGGCGACGATCTGCTCGACATTTTTCGACCGACACCTGGTCGAGACGTGTTTATCAAGCTAACGATTGCACGTGCACGAAAGTGGTGGATTGCACAGCCCGCCCCACCACCCCGCAGTGCTCCAGATGCAACGGTCGCCTGGAGTAGCCCCCATACGCGTGGCCTTCTACGTGCGGATGGAGCGCTATGCCTGTTCACGGCCGAAACAAATCAAGCGCTCCGAGTACATTACGATGAGTGGGGAGGGAGGCGAGCACGGCCGAATATGCGAACATACGAGATTCACGATTACGAACCAATGCCCTAACTGCCGATCGACTTTCGCGAGCCGACAGACTGCGATTAATCATCTTGCTGCTGCTTATCGTTCTGGGCGATGCCACAAACACCGCTCTGTTTACAACTTCGAGGTGAACGACCCTCCGCAGCTGTTTTGCCCAAGTGACGTCTGCGAGCTCACCTTCGCTACCCTTGGCGAGTTGCAAGCCCACATTGCGACAGAACGCCTTCCCGAACCTCGCCCTCATGTCGTGGATGAGCTCACTGCCCAGCGCTGGAGAGCCCGCAGGCGCAGCCGCGGCAGAAGCGGCACAGCCTGCTCACAAGTCCCGACGCCGCCAGCCCACCGGCCGTGGAAACCAACAGAGCGGGTCGAAGTCCAAGCTGGTGGACCTGAAGTCGCTCGTCCTGGAGGAGATGGAACTGAAAGATATTCAGCGCATGTTCCCCATTGTCATGAAGCTACTACTCAACGTGGCGATGAGGCAGCGCCAGACCGACGCCATACTGATCAAGACGTACCTCGTCTCACCTGGCACGAAAAGCGTCGCGGCGATCCGAGCTCGCGTTCGCGCATGGGTAAAAAGAGCCGAAGAGATACGAAGTACGACGACGGCACCACAGATCGATGCGGAGATGGCGAAGATCGGCACGATCAGCACCGCAGCCTTCGCAGGTCTGCTCGAAGGTCTCCATCAGGAAGGCGCGTCCGTCGGCGGCCTCAACCAGCAGAACCTGACAGCGCTGGGCGAGAAGATGAAGACCATGGACATCAAGCAGGTCGTCGAGCTCGTCCCGCTCGCGAAGGCCAGCGACACGCACGACGCCCCGCAGTGCAAACTTCAGATCCGCCTCAACCCCGAGAGCGACGTCGACCTCAGTGTGATTCACGACTCACTCATCCAGACGGGAGCGATCTACAAGCCAGGCCAGGGACCGATGGTGCACATGGAGAGGATCTTTCACACGAAGCTGACGCAGTTAGAGGACGTGATCATGGGATAGATTTCTACGCCTTCAACTGGGCTAGCCATAGCTGTGCGCAATGGGACCCTTGTATTCCGAAGAATACTGTGACGACAGGCAAGGGGAGCTTCTCGCCTGCTTCTGGGCATGCGCCAACTCCTACGCCAACTGTTCAGGGCATGGGAAGCCCACCACACGCATCTACGAATGCGCCTCCTTCGATGCCAGCAGTTCAGGGCATGGGGTGCCCACCTTCTGCATCGCAGAGTGCGCCTACACCATCAGTTGTTCAGGGCATGGAGAGCCAACCCTTTGCTTCACAGGGTGCGCCTACTTCAGTTGTTCAGGGCATGGAGAGCCCACCTCTTGCATCACAGAGTGTGCCGACTTCTACGCCAACAGTTCAGGGCATGGGAGGCCCACATCAAGCATCGCAGAGTGTGCCCACTTCTACTGCAGTCGTTCAGGGCATGGACTGCCCACCTATTGCATCCACGAGTGCGCCCACAGCAGTTGTTCAGGGCATGGGAAGCCCACATCGAACACCTACGAGCGCTACCCCTTCGCGTACTCGTACTGAGATGTGGACAGCTTCGCTGTTAGCACGCGCCCGCGCCCTTGCCCAGGCTGAAAAGCAGAGCCTCTCTGAGGACCCTGAGCCTAGCCTGCCCAGCGCCCCTGAACCCCCTCCTTCGTCCTCTGAGCCTCCTCCTGCTCCTCCTCCTCCTAAGAGGCCCCGCAGGCCTTCCGTCCCACCGCCAGCTCGCACTACTTCTACATACAATTCCCGTGGCTCGTCTTTTCCTCCCACTGCTGCCAGTCAAAGCACAGGTGGCGATTCCAGGACGATGGATGCCATCATGAGACTTGTAGGAACGAGCAGGCGCTAAGACCTGCGTTTCGTTTCCTGTCAGTGTGTGACCTTGCGGTTTATTTTCGGGTGTAGCCCGATCCTAGAGGCACTCAGCGTCAGAGGCATCCGTACTGCTGCCTCCGAGGGGTCCGATCCGATCCGATATATATATATGTATATATATTTATGTATATATGTGTATTACACATATACATTTACATACATTAATAGTACTGTATGCGTTTAGATGTATACATATATTTACATAGGCTTCACCCACATCGATTCACAATCATGCATACGCCCATATCCATACACATGTGTATGTCCAGCACATGCGCGCGGCGTGAAGGAAGCGTCGGGATACGCGCGGCAGGCCGCGCGCGAGTCTTGAGCCAATCTTGTTTTGTCGTTGCTGCTCTGGGGCCCGGAGGGGCCAGGAAACCCTCGCGCGCCATCGTGGTTCGGAAGCTCCGAGAGAGCACTGGAAGTGCCAAGGGGAAACCTGGAGGTCCCAAAAAGAACCGCGCGGCGTCGGGAAACCCCAAAAAGCCCAGAACCTCGAAGTGCTTTATCGCCCAGAAGTCACAGAGATCTGCCAGAACGGCCCAGGACAGCTGCGGGAAGCTTCAAGAGAGGGCCCCAAGGCGCCCCGAGACGGCCCTGGGCGAGGGGGGGTGGACGCGCCCATAAGCCACCCAAATAAGTGAACCAAGACCTGCTCGTTCAGAGGGCCGTCGGTTCACTTATTTTCGATGCCCAGAGGCCCCCGGAATCTGCCCAGAACAGCCCGCGACAGCTGCGGAGAAGCCCCGGAGAGGTCCCCGGGGCGCCCCGAGACGGCCCTGGGCGAGGGGGCGGATGCGCTCATGGGCCGCCCAAATAAGTGAACCAAGACCTGCTTGTTCAGAGGGCCGTCGGTTCACTTATTTTCAGTGACCCGAAGTCCCCGGGATCTGCCAGGACTGCCCAGGACAGCTGCGGGAAGCTTCAAGAGAGGGCCTCAGGGCGCCCCGAGACTAGCCCCATGAGGGGAGCCCAAGAAGGCCCGAGAGTGCTCCAAGACGACCACAAGGAGGCCACCCGAACACATGCAACAAATTTGAATTCGTCGCGGATCCCAAGGATTCCCCAAAATTCCGGAAATCAGGTCGCCTAGAACGTGGGCCGTCCGCCGCAAGAGAGGACGTCCGCGCCAGCAATGGGCATCCGAAGTGCGTCAGCTTTAGTCCATCGCCCCCCCGCCCCTGTCCTCCTCGCCTCCCCCCTCTGCTCCTCCTCCCCCCTCGCCTTGGGCAGTGCAAGCGGACGTGGGTATGTACCATGTTTCACATGTTTTGACGAACGTGCCAACGTGCACAACTCGTCTTGCCTATGCGTCCGCCTGGGTGCACGGCTTGTGACTGAAACTTTTGAAAGTTTTAAAACTTTGAAATCCCTGGACCCTGGATGTCCAGATCTCCAGGATCCCCCGACGATCAGGAATCCAGGGACCCTCAAAGTTTCAAAACTTTTAAAAGTGTAAAGAGTTTTGAGAATTTTTGGCGCCCTAGAACTTATACATTTTTTTTAGAATTTCAAAATTTTTGAAAATCCATGGACCCTGGATTCCCAGATCTCCAGGATCCCCCGACGATCAGGAAACCAGGAATCCCCAAAGTTTCAAAACGTTTAATACAACTTTTAAAACTTAAAAGTTTAAAACTTTTGAAAATCTCTGGACCCTGGATTCCCAGATCTCCAGGATCCCCCGACGATCAGGAAACCAGGGATCCCCAAAGCTTCACAATTTCTCAAAGTTCTTAAAAGTTTTAAACGTTTTAAGCGCCCTAGAACTTTTAAAATTTTTAAAAGTTTCAAAACGTTTGAAACTTCCAGGGCCATTGTTCCCCAGAATTCCATGATTCCCTGGCGATCAGGAAACCAGAGACCCCCAAAGTTTCAAAACATGTTAAAAGTTTGAAAAGTTTTAGGCGCCCTAAAACTTTGAAAACTTTAAGAGTTTCAAAACGTTTGAAACTTCCAGGGCCCTGGTTCCCCAGATTTCCATGATCCCCTGGCGATCAGGAAACCAGGGGCCCCCAAAGTTTCAAACCTTTGAAAGTTTTAAAAGTTTTAAAAGTTTTAGGCGCCCTAAAACTTTGAAAACTTTAAAGAGTTTCAAAACGTTTGAAACTTCCAGGGCCCTTGTTCCCCAGATTTCCATGATCCCTTGGCGATCAGGAAACCAGGAGGAGGATGATGAGGAGGAGGAGGAGGAGGAGGACCTGGAGGAAGACGACGAGCGGGCGGGGTCGACCGTGCCCTCACCCCGTGTCTGGTATGTGGTTGTGGTCGCCCGTACCCCCCCCCCCCCCCCCCCCTCTCCCCCCCCCCGCCGTCCGCCCAATGTCGAGGCGCCGAAAAACAGGAGCACGCTCCTCAGGGTGGACTCCTGCGCTCTGGCCCGCGCCCACGACGACGACCCACGGGGCGGCGGCGCCGGCGAGGGCCCCCGGCCTGGCAGGTGTGCAGGGCCCGGGGGCGGCGGACCGCGGCCGCCCCCGCCGCCGCCGGCCCCGCCTGCGGCTGCCCCGGCGGCATGCGCTGGTGCGCGCGCCCCTGGGGCGGGGGGGGCGCGGCGGGGGGGGGGGGGGCGGCGAGGGGGGGGCGGCGGGGGGGGGGCGCCCGGGGCGGGGGGGGGGCGGCGGGGGGGGGGGTGCCGTTGCGAGGCTGCGGATCCGGCCGTCCTGGCGTCCGGAGGAGGTCGAGGTGGGGTGTGTTCTCACGGTTTTGCGGCCCCTCGGGCCCCTGCCGGGGGCCTCGGGTGGGCGTCACGAGAGCGCGGCTGGGGAGGAGGAGCCGGTCTCGGGGCAGTGGTCGGGAGGTCGGGGGCCCGCGGCTGGACGGAGGGCGAGGCGCTGGATAGCTGGGGATTTTTTGCCGTACTACAGTCAAGACGCCCGAACGAAGACCCCTTTGTGCTTATGGGTGGTTGCGGCTTTACGGCCCCAGGACGGTACGCCTATTCGTGACCGAGGCTCGCCAGGGTCAGTAGAGCCGCATCCTTCCTTATCCAGCGTCCCTTACTGTCCCGGGATAACACTATCCACCGACCCTGCGGAACCGACCTGCTTCCTGTGTCTCTGGTACGCTCGCGCCCGTGTGGCCCAGACGAGTGACACGTGCCTGCCCAGACCTACCGAAAAGCCATGGTGAGGCCACTGGTGGGCTTGCCATATCTTGCGATTGGACGACATGTTGAGAATTCACCCTTGTGGGCATCACTGGGAACAAAAGCCGAAGACTTGGTTGTCGAGCAAGTCTGCACAACAACACTGAAAGACATTACGTTGTGTAAAGTTGTTTGCATGGTTGAATACCTACACAGGAAATCGTTGAAGCAAACAATTTGTCTCTAACAGTTATGTGCGCCACCATTGAACTCCATTCTATATTTGACGTCTTCGTGTCAGACTGATGGGAACCCCTTCTGACTTGTTTTAACCCTGCTGTTGCGATCTGTAACAGGGGCGCGCCGGATTTTCAGAATTATGAGGATGTCCCGAGCGAAATGGACAGAAGTTTCGCGCACGGGACGGCTTCACCAATACTCGCCTCTGACCTCCATTCTCTCGAAGAGGCGCATATGAACATGTATCCATGCCCACCGCCCTATGTGGCTCCCTCGGCGGTGGATCATCATGCATAAGCTGTGGCCTAGCGGCTAGCAGTCTCTGCCCTACTGCTCCCATCGAGGCACTTTCAGGGTGCTCTCGATGCCAACCAGGGTGCCTGTATGTATTTCTTTCCAACGCTGGTCCTCGAAAGTTCTCGGCGCCGACTTGTTCTAGCCCGACAAGTCATCAGCTGTACGAAATCGAGTTCTCCTGGCAAGGGCGCTGAATACCTGAATATCCTGAGCAATAGGAGGGAGATGCCGACCGCTCTTGAGAGATGACATGGCCCATACCCTGATCTTCTTCGGGGCGGGCGCTCTTTCGGCCACTCTGCTGGAATGTGCCCGAATCCCTTCGCCCACTCGGCTGAAGATCAGTAAGGGAGACGCCGCGCCTGAGACGTGGCCCCTGGGGGCGAGTCTTGGCCCGACCGCCCCCCTCGCCTTCCTCACGGGCCTCACGGGCGCCCCGGTCATGCCGCGTGTTTGCGATCCGCCTCGCGGACACCCTGCGATGTCCAGGCAAGGGCGTGCCCTCCAAGGGCGAGGGACACTCACCAGCGGCGCTCCAAAGGGGGCAGCGCAAGGGGGCCCGCCTTCTGAGGAGGCCAGGGAGCATTGCTTCGTAGAAGCCCTCCCTGCTTCTAAGAAGCCAGCTTCGAATCTTCCAGGTGCTTCTTCGAAGGCTCCTGCCTCCTATGAGCCCCCCTTGCCCCCCTCCCGCCACCCACCGTGTGCGCGCCACCAGCCCTCTAGTGCGAGGCGTGTGAGGCTGCGCGAACGGAGCCTTGGAGGTTGCTCCAGCTTTCAGTCGGGCACGTCCCTCTGCAGGAGGAAGGTTCAAAAATAGGCAAAAAATAGTCTGGGGGACGATTTTCGATTAGTTTTGAGCATTTTTGATGCTTGTCGGGGGGTATTGTTTATTGTTCATCCAAAATCCGCCTGTAGGGGGGCACGCCCGACCTAGCTCCAGCTGGCTTCAACAGGCGCCAGGGTAGCCCAGGCGGTCTCGATAACCAGCGCGGCCACCAGCAGCGGTCTACGGGACTCTCCGCGTCTCGTGGTCGGGATGCCTTGTGATATGTTCGTGCGCATCCCTACGCGCGCGTCCTCTTCCAGGGCGGCTTAGATATGGTCAGCAGAGTTGGCTTAGAGCGTCTCGCGGCTGGTTCTGGACCACCACGCTCCAGCGCGACACGCTAAGCACGCCATGGTCCCGAGGCCTCAACGTTCCGAGCTTTTCCCAGCATCCCGACCAACGGAAGCAGACCGACAGGCGACGCGTCATCCGCTTGCAGGGCACAGCGCGTCGCAGGGGGCAGTCGCCGCAACCCGCTACGCAAAAGTCTCTGACTTTATTTTCCCCCTCAGCCTGTCCACCGAACACGGGCATGGAGAAGATCTGGTTCACCTGCAGGGGCGTGAAAGCAGCCGCGTTTCGCGGCCAGGCCTGGACAGGTGATCTTCTGAAGGGGGCGGCGCGAGGGCGCGCAGATAACCCCCCTTTCCACGACACGCGCAGCACGACGCCAGTTCATGTACATATATATATATATATATATATATATATATGGATATAACGACCTACATACTTATATATGTGTATATACACATGTGTGTCTGTATGCACGTATGCATGCATGTGTGTATGTGTGTATGTATGTGTGTACGCATGTGTGTACACTTGTGTGTATGCATGCAGGCAGGCAGGCAGGCAGGCAGGTATGTATGTGTGTATGCATGTATGTTTGTGTGTATGCACGTATGTATGTATGTATGTATGGATGCATGCATGTGTCTATGTGTGTATGGATGTATATATGTATGTCTGTCTGTCTGTATGTCTGTATGTCTGTGTGTCTGTGTGTCTGTGTGTCTGTATGTCTGTATGTCTGTATGTCTGTATGTCTGTATGTTTGTATGTATGGTTGTACGTATGTATGGTTGTATGTATGTATGGTTGTATGCATGTATGTATGTGTATGTGCAGGTGTGTATGCATGCATGTATGCATGTATGCATGCTTGTATGTATGTGTGTGTTTGTATGTATGCATGTACATTCATGTATGTATGTAAGTACGTATGCATGTAGATAGGCCGGCAGGCATACAAGTATGTTGGCATGTACGCATGTTTGTTTGTATGCGTAGTTGCATGCACGTATGTATATATGTGCATGTGTGTATGCATATAGGTGCGTATATATAGATGTCCGCATGCATGTATGTCTGTATGCATGTATAGTTTTATCTATGTGTGTATGCATGCATGTATGTATATGCACATGTTTGTGTATGCATAGATACGTATGTCTATGTATGTAAACGTATATATGTACACACACACATCGATAGGATGTGGCGTTCTCCGCAGCTCCCGCGCCGGACGCCCGAGCTTCTCCGGCCCGCGAGATCCGCCTCCCAGGGCTGCCCCCCCGAGCGACGCAGGGCCAGGGTGACCGCGGGGGTCGCCTGCCAGGACAGTCGCGCGCCAGCTGCCCGCGCACGGCCGCGCAGGCCAGCGGCCTCTCATGATCCGCTCTGCGTGAGCCGCGCCAGCGGCCCGCGAGACAACCACCCGCGAGGGCAGGGCCCCTGCCGCCCCTCTGCCGCCCAGCTGGCGGCGCGTGGGAGCAGGCATGGGCGAGGGGAGTGGCCTCATGTTCCTCGTCCTCCTCCTCCTCCTCCTCCTCCTCCTCCTCCTCCTCCTGCACCGCCTCCTTCTCCTGAGCCGCCTCCTCCTCCTCCTCCTCCTCCTCCTCCTCCTCCTCCCCTCCTCCTACTCCTACTCCTCCTCATACTCCTCCTTCCCCTCCTCCTCCTCCTCCTCCGCCCTCCTCCTCTCCTCCTCCTACTCCCCCCTCCTCCTCCTCCTCCTCCCCTCCTCTTCCTCCTCCTCCTTCCTCCCCTCCTCCTCCTTCCCCTCATCCTCCTTCTCCTCCTCCTCCTCCTCCTCTTCCTCCTCCTCATCATCATCTTCCTCCTCCTCCCACTCCTCCTCCTACTCCTCCTCCTCCTCCTCCTCCTCCTCCTCCTCCTCCGGCTCCTGGCCCTCCTGCGCTTCAGTGGGCCTTCGTCTCAGACCCTGGATCTGGCATCGCGGAACAACAGCAGCGTCGTGGAAGATCACGGCCAGAGCCTCAGACCGCCCATTTTCCTTCTCTTGCACGCCGGCCAATTTGCCATTCGGTTGCCCCGAATTGCCACACGCTGGAGCGGACCGCCTCTGCCTCGCCGCCGACGAAAAAAGTTGTTATTGCATCTTCCGTGCTGGATCGACCTGCGAGGGCCCCAGGGCCCAGCATCGGGGCCACCTCGTCTTGTGCGAGACTTGCTGGAACCGAGCAGTGTGCGCCGGACATGTTTTTTGTGGTGGTCTGTGGTGGCCTGTTTTTGCCGAACAAGCTGGAACCAACCGATGTCACAGTATAATTGGGGCCGAATGTGGGGAGGAACGAGGTTCGGCCCCTCCAAAAAAAACACGAAAGGACTGAGAACGGTGACGATCGCACGTAGAGGGGGGGGGAGGCTGGACCTACCCCCGTACATGCTGGTGCTCGCGCGCAGACTGTGGCGATCGCAGCGCACCCCCGCTCCGACGTGCCCCACCCCGCCCAAGCCCGTTACCTTGGGCCTCAAGCTCTCCCTGCCCGGGATAACGACCGCCATCGGAAATACAGTGAGCGGCTTGAATAAGGAACACCTCCTTTTCAAAAGGGGCTCGGTCGTTCCTTAGATTTTGCATGCGTTATTTACAGGTCCTTATGCGTTATCTATCATTTATCGTTCCTCATGCGTTATTCCTTGGGATAAAAAGGGGCTTCGTTCCTTATTTATCGTTCCTTAGGTCAGGCCGATGACTGTAGCAACAGAGCAAGAATCTCCTGAGCAGCATCGGCCGATGGCCCTCTGCGCACGCTGGCACAAGGTGGCCTCAGGCCCGCGCAGCACCGCAGGCAGCGCGCAGCCGGGGTCTGCCCTCGCCGCCCAAAGATGCACACAGCAGTTCATGACCATAATTTCGTCACCGGTCCACACGGGTATGTTGGGTGTTGGGTCGGCACTGGTCGGCGGCGAGCGAGGGGGGGAAGCGGGAAGAAGAAGGCCTTCTCAGAAGGCGGCCGGGCGTCTCAGAAGCCCTCGCGCCTTTGAGAGGCTTTCTGTGTCTTCAGGGAAGGCTTAGAAAACTTCTCAGAAGGCCTGGGGGCTGCCGAGCCTTCTGACCCAGACCCCCGGCGTCGTGTTTTCGTTCGCAAAGTCGACCCCCACAGGTCTGGACCCCTTCCCCGGCGCCGGTGTCTCGTTCTGAGTCTTTTTGTTGACGCTCCCGGGCCCAAAATAGTGAAAGACCTCATGTCGTGTTTTTTTTCACTATTCGAGGGGGTCTGGGTCCTGACTCACCCGACGGTCCCCGAGCTCGCCGAGCTCGCCGCCGCCACACAGAGGTCCTGCGCAGCGAGGGGCCCCTTCCGAGAAGGCCCGCCCCTCCTCACCTCAGCCTCCCCCCGGGGCGCGCCGCCGACCGGCAGTTCCTGGTGCGCCTCCTTGGGGCGCCGCCCCTGCTGGCGTGAAGTCGGGCGTGTCCCTCTACGGAATGAGTACTGAAAGCTCAAAAGATAGTTCCAAAAGATAGTCTGGGGATGATCTTTGGACCACGTCTGCCCATTCTTGAATCTGTCTCGAGTGTCTCTCTCGTGTGTCGTCCAGAGTCCGCCCGTCGGAGACCATGCCCGAGGCCTACAACACTGGCGCCCTCCGAGGCGCCAGAGAGGTGGAGCTCGAGGCCGCCCGCCCAGGACGTCCGCGCGGGCCGCCGAGAGCGACAGTCTTCGTGCAGCGGTTCGTTCCTCCTGGTGTCCTTGCGATCGTTCTCTTGCTCACCGGTTTGCCGATCGGCGCGGGCGCTCGCAGCCCCCCCCCCCGCCGTTCCCCCCCCCCCCCACACTGGAGTAGATCTTGGCTGCTTTTGGCGCCGGCTTCGAGCAGGTGGAGTCTCCCCCATAGGACGCACTGTTGCAAGCAGTCGCGCTAAGCAGAGGTCCGGAGCAAGAACCCCGCCCCCCTCCCCCCCCGCCCTTCCGCCCAATGTCGAAACGCTAAGTAAGCAAACGGTCACCTCCTCTGGTGTCCTTGGTTCGCGTGAACTTCGTGGTCGTCCTGTCGTCGTGGTCGCCGCGGTCGTCTTGGTCCTCGTGGTCGTCCTGGTCGTCCTGGTCGTCCTGGTCGTTCTGGTCGTTGTGGTTGCCGTGGTCGCCGTGGTCGTCCTGGTCCTCATGGTCGCAGTAACGCACTTCTGGGGATCCTCGAATCCGGCTTGCCAGTCTTCACATAGCCTGGCCAGCCCCAGAGGGCAAAATCCACATGAGTGCTGTTACCGGGATATCTCCAGGGCCCTTTGTATTGGGAAGACAGGGCGTCGGGAGGTCTGGATTGGTGAGCACCCCGCCCGTACCTGGTTGGGCTCGAGCCGGGATCCTCGCCTTCGAGCGACGCCCGCGGGCTCCGCCCTGCAGTTGCCGGACTTGGAGGCGTAGCCAGCCAGCCGTGCACCCAGCGCAGCATCTAAAGGAGGCTGCCGGCACGAACAAGCCAGGCAGCCAGGCCAGACGTCCGCTTCCGCGCCCAGCTGCCATGTGGCTAGGACTCGGGAGGGGTAAAGGAGTACCAGTGTCACGCGCGTCGGCTTTCAAGCCGTCCGTGTTGCGCATTCGTGGTTCGAGAAAAAACATTAGGGCATCCCTCAACAGTGACACGCTGATAGGGGGGTCGTCCGCCAAGCTTGCCGTTCTACCATCTCTTCTGCCTTCCGAAGGATGCTGCCGAGCAGAGCCCATCGGCGACCAAGCGGAGATGATCAGCCCTGCATCCTTTGCGGAGCGGCAGCCCTGGGCCGGCGGAGGAGCGAGGAAGACCAAGCCATCACGAGCAGGAGCGTTCGGAGGTCCGCGCGGATCTGTTGCATAGGCGCCGGGCCCCCGTGGCGCGCCTCCCGTGCCGGCCCGAGAGACCCGCGCGTGCGCGGCGGGGAGTTGTCTAGAGTCACCGCCCGGGAGATCGATCTTCGGGGACCCCTGCAGGCCATGGACATGGATACGTTCGGCCCCTGGCGGGGGAGATGTATCCACATCCACCGCCGGCCAAGGTCCCCGAAGATGGACCCCCCAGGTGGCGGTCGCTCAGAGGAGACGCAGACACCCCATGCGGGGGGGCGGCCGGCCCCTGGCCGGTGGCACGCCTGCGTTTCGTACTTTGGGCAACGTTCGGGCGTGCCACCTTCCAGAGGGCGCCCCCCTCCCCCCCCGATGGGATCTCCGTTGCGGTGCTATTTGCTCCTAAGAGGAAAAGGAGGAGGATGAGGAGGAGGAGGAGGAGGAGGAGGAGGAGGAGGAGGAGATGTAGCGATACCGCTACCTTTCGGTCTTTGCTCTTCCTCGCCCTCCTCCGCTGCCTGCCCTCCTCTTCTTTCTCCTCCTCGTCGACGGTGACGGCCGCGCACGCCCGCAGGCGGACACAGGCGCGCGGGGCACGTCGGCGTCAAGGCTGCGAGACAGACGCACGGCCGGGGGCCCTGCGCCACAGGTCCCCCAGCTAATTAGGCGCGCGCGTGCACCCGACGGAGGCAAGGAGCGGGAAAGGAGAGGAGGGGGAGAGGAGGGGAGGAGAGAGAGACAGAGATCTGCTAGAGGCAGTGCCCGCAGCGCTGGCTGGCGCAGTCAGGTCAGCCTGGCAGCCCGGCAGCGCTGCAGGGCCAGCTGGGACTGGACAGCACAGCTCAGGACCCGAAGAGCTCCCGCGAGCTCGTCGGGCTGGTGGTGTGCAGGCAGAGTCCGCACCTGCCAGAGGAGCCACCGTTTGGCTTCCCCCCCCGAGGCCACCGACGAACGGTGTCAGGCGATCCCCCCGGGCACCTGGCGTGTCCACGTCCTCGGCCGTCGGGCGGCGGACCGACACGCGTCGATCCAGCGCCGGCCGGCCCCGCCGTTGCCCCCGACGTCGAGGGCTGCGCGCTCGAGCAGGTCCGCGTCCAGCGGGGGGCCGCCGGCACCCGCTGCTCCGTCAGTGGCTCTTGGCGCAGCCAGCGGCGAACCAGGCCAGCCACCCCGCGCTCGAGGCTGCCGTGGTCGGACGCAGCCAGGAGGGGTCCGTTCCAGGGCGCTCCGGCACGCCCTCAGAGCCCTCTCGGAACGCTCCGAGAAGTAGCCGCGACGCCCGAGAGATCCTCTAGATCCGCAGGCTCCCAGGGATTCTCGACGTATCCGCACCCGATGCAGGCCCCCGACGTCATGATTTTGTTCTGATGTCGACCCCCAGAGGTCTCGAGCCATGAAAATCTCGCGACGGGCGGTGTTTCACCATTTTCGGCCTCTGGGGGCCCTGGCACCGCGCCTCGGGGCCGTCAACAGAACGACTCGGGATGACACGGAATACGTCGAGACCTCTGGGTGTCGACGTCCCCAGACCTCCGACGTCATGATTTTTTCATGACGAGGTCTCGACCTATTTTCCGGGACCGGTTTGTCATCCCGAGTCATTTCTTGACGGTCCCGAGGCCTTGTACGGGCGCCCAGAGGCCGAAGAGGGCGAACCGCCTCCCGTCGTGATTTTTTCATTGCTCGAGGGGGGGTCTGGGTCTGCACCATATATATATATATAATAATATATATATTATATTAGATATTATAATATATATATATATTATATATAATATATTATAATATATATATCACGGGCGAGCGACGCTCTCCTGCATGGGGGGGCCGGCGGGCCACGGGGGGCGCGGGGCGCTCCTCGGCTCCCCGCGAGCGGTGCCGCCTGCTCGCAGGGAGGGCGCCCGCCGGGCCGCGGCGCCTCGTGCCCGCGCGCACCGGCCAAGGCCAGAGGGCTCGCCCGGCGGAGCTCCAGGTGCCAGGCCCCCGACGTCATGATTCCTTCACGACCCCGGCCCCCAGATCCCCCCCTCCCTCGAGCAGTGACAAAAATCACGACGGCAGGTGTTTCGCCATCTTCGGCCTCTGGGCGTCCTTGCCGGGCCTCGGGACCGTCAAGGAACGACTCGGGACGACAAGCCGGTCCCGGGAAACAGGTCGAGACCTCTGGGGGTCGACGTCATGAAAGAATCAGGACGTCGGAGGTCTGGGGACGCTGCCTCACGGCAGCGCCCTTTTTGTGGCGCAGTTTGCGCTAGGGTTCTGCCTCGCCGGGTGTGCTGCAGGGCGTCGATCCGGCGAGGAGGCGGCCGGCGCGGGGTCCGCGCCCCGGAGGGGGGGGGGGCTTCGCCCGCGCCTCGGAGAGGGCCTCGCCGAGTCGCGGCGCCGCGTCCAGGAGCTCGAGCAGCCGAGGTCCGCAGCCGCGCGCGGGGCACACACGCGGGCCAGCCGGCCCAGGAGGCCGCGGGTCGTCGCGTCGCGTGGCCCCAGATCCCCCTCGAGCATGTCGAAGACTGACTACGACGGGAGGTTTCTCGCCATGTTCGGCCTCTGAGGGCCCTTCCCAGGCTTCGGGACCGTCAAACAGCGACTCGGGATTAAACACGGGTCCCGGGGCGGAGGTCGAAGCCTCTGGGGGTCGACGTCATGAAATGGTCCTGGCGAAGGACCCAAACATATGCAATTGTGAATGCCGCGTTGTGGGTACCACTTTCGGTGGAGCTCCCTCTGGGGCCACGAACCGTGTGAGGGGTGCGCCGAAATGGGGCAGCGGTGCCATGCGGACGCCCCCACTGTGGCCTTCGGTGGAGCTCCCTATGGGGCCCACCGAGCATGTCAGGGGTGTGCCGAAATGGGGCGGCGGTGCCGTGCGGCCGCTCCCGCTGGGGCCTTCGGTGGAGCTCCCTATGGGGCCACGAACCGTGTGAGGGGTGTGCCACAATGGGGCGGCGGTGCCGTGCGGGCACTCCCGCTGGGGCCTTCGGTGGAGCTCCGTATGGGGCCACGAACCGTGTGAAGGGCGTGCCAAAATGGGGCGGCGGTGCCATGCGGACGCTCCCGCCGGGGCCTTCGGTGGAGCTCCCCATGGGGCCACGAACTGTGTGAGGGGTGGCGGCGGTGCCATGCGGACGCTCCCGCCGGGGCCTTCGGTGGAGCTCCCCATGGGGCCACGAACGGTGTGAGGGGTGTGCCAAAATGGGGCAGCGGTGCCATGCAGGCGCTTTCGCTGGGGCCTTCGGTGGGGCTGGCCGCGAACTGTGTGAGGAGTGTAGCAAAATGGGGCGGCGGTGCCATGCGGGCGCTCCCGCTGAGGCATCCAGTGGAGCTCCCCATGGGGCCACGACCCGTGTGAGGGGTGGGCGGCGGTGCCATGCGGACGCTCCCGCTGAGGCCTCCAGTGGGCGTCCGTATGAGGCCACGAACCGTGTGAAGGGCGTGCCAAAATGGGGCGGCGGTGCCATGCGGGCGCTCCCGCTGGGGCCTTCGGTGGAGCTCCCTATGGGGCCACGAACCGTGTGAGGGGTGCTCCAAAATGGAGCGGCGGTGCCATGCGGACGCTCCCGCCGAGGCCTGCGGTGAAGCTCCCGTTGAGGCCACGAACCGTGTGAGGGGTGTGCCGGAATGATGCGGCGGTGCCATGCGGCCGTTCCCGCTGTCGGTTGAGCTCCGTATGGGGCCACGAACCGTGTGAGGGGTGTGCCAAAACGGGGCGGCGGTGCCATGCGGGCGCTCCCGCTGGGGCCTTCGGTGGAGCTCCCTATGGGGCCAAGAACCGTGTGAGGGGTGTGCCAAAATGGGGCGGCGGTGCCATGCGGACGCTCCCGCCGGGGCCTTCGGTGGAGCTGGCCGCGAACTGTGTGAGGGGTGTGCCAAAATTGGCGGCGGTGCCATGCGGGCGCTCCCGCTGGGGCCTTCGGTGGAGCTCCCTATGGGGCCACGAATCGTGTAACGGGTGTGCCAAAACGGGGCGGCGGTGCCGTGCGGGCGCTCCCGCTGGGGCCTTCGGTGGAGCTCCCTATGGGGCCACGAACCGTGTGAGGGGTGTGCCAAAATGGGGCGGTGGTGCCATGCGGGCGCTCCCGCTGGGGCCTTCGGTGGAGATCCATATGGGGCCACGAACCGTGTCGCCGGGGCCTTCGGTGGAGCTCCCTATGGGGCCAGGAACTGTGTGAGGGGTGTGCCAGAATGGGATGGGCATGCGGAGAGCAGAGGCAATTGGATGGGAGGAGGGAGGAGGGGGAGGGGGCAGCGGGAAGTGAGGTGAAGTGGCGCCCCACCTCGCGGCGTTGTCTCTTCAAAACGAGGACCCAACTCCGTAGGATGGTTGGGAAAAATCCTGACGTCGGGGGTCTGAGACTGCAGCCCCGCGCCAGAGAGCTGGAGCGGAGTGGCCGAGGAGCGCCCGCGCCGGCGCCGAAGGCGTCCAGGGGCCGGCGGGCGAGCTCCTCCCAGTAGCCCGCGGGAGCGGTGTCGTATAGCGCGCCGCCGCCTCCTCGCCGGGCACCTCGCAGCGAAGGGCGTGCTGGCTTGCAGCGCAGCAAGCTCCTGGCCGCTTGCATCGGGAGGTCGCGCTCGCCGACCACGCGCTTCCCCAGCGGCTGGAGGGCGTTCCAGAGTTCCGCCGAGCGCTCGGCCGCCATCTCGAGGCCGCTGTTGTGGCCCAGGTCGATGGGGCCCCTCGGCCACGTCGCTTCGCGCGAAGTTCTCTCGCGGAGCTCCGGGGGCACAAGCAGGCAGCCCAGTCGAAGACCAGACAAGGCCAGTCTTCTCCCCCTCCCCTGCGCTCTTCCCAGCCAGCCGAGCGAGCACAGGCGGGGATGCTGGCGCACCGGCGCGAGAGCCAGCGCGATGACCTGTGTTCTTTTCTTCTCTCGGCTACGCGTAAGATTGACTCTTCGCTGGAGTGACCTTTGGTGCGGGCTCACCTAGGTCCCCCCGATCGCTGAGGGCCATGCGATATCGGCTGTTTGCGCGCGATTAGGCCACCTTTTGCTCCCGTGGACCGCGCACGAAAGGTACGGTGGGGGCGTTGGTTGAGGAATGTGCCCAGGAGGCTTCAGACCCTGGAGGATTCCTTGTCTGATCAGAGCGGCGGTGATATCCATGGCCAACCCACGATCGAAGCTCCACTGGCTTCGAGACCCTGGATTCCTTATCCATTGGTCCCTTATCCAATGCCCTCACTGCAACTCTCGCCTAGGGTCACTCTTACGTGTGGCCGATTCTTTCCTGTCGCCATGGCGTTCGTTCTCCCCGCTGTGCTCGTGTCCTCTTTGCCGTCGTCCTCCGATCCTGTTGGAGCCGGCGCGAAGTCGTCCCTGCGCCGACGGCCAGCGCCACCTCCACAGTCTTCCCGCGGTGGCTCCCGCGGCGCCTTCGCCCGACTACGCGCAAGAGTGACCATTCGCCGCAGTGACCGTTGGTCCCAGACCTCCTCACGTTGTGAACAAAACATCGCGACGGGAGGTTTTTCGCTGGTGTCGGCCTCCAGGGGGCCCTTCCTGGGTCTCGGGGCCGCCAATAAGCGGCTCACGATGAAAAGCCGGTCCCCGGGGAAGGGGTCCAGACCTCTGGGGGTCGACGTTGTAAAACAGAATCACGCCGTCGGGGTCTGCGGTGCGGGCGCACTGGGGTTCCCAGATGAGCTGCACAAAAAAAACGGGGTCGTCTGCGCCGACATTGGCGCACAAGCTGCCCGCGTGAGGTCGCGCGTAAAAGCGCCCTCGTCTCCAAAGTGGCGTGCCGCGCCGGCGGCCCGCGTAAGCCACCGCGTAAGGTCGCTACGCCATCTCGCGTAAGACCCGTTTTCGATCGTCGTTCAGATGGCCGAAAGCGATGCGATAGCATAGGCTCGTGCGCTCCCATGCAGACTCCCGCGGCCCCCAAAAGTCGCGCAACAAAAATCTAAAAAGGTCACTCTTGCCCAGGGTCGCTCTTACGTGTAGCCGACTCATGGTCAGAAACCTCGGTGGCGCGCTCAGCGCGCCAGCCCAGCGCGGGCCCGCGAGGAATTGGCCTCCCGGGAGGGCCACTGGGAATTCCCAAACCTGATCGCCATGGCTGGACTCGCCTCCAGGTTCTGGCCACACAGCAGCCCAGGAGAGGCATGGGCATCCTGTCGCTCCCCCAGGAGGAGGAGAAGAAGGAGGAGGAGGAGGGGGGGGGAGGGGGGAGGGGAGGAGGAGGAGGAGGAGGAGGAGGAGGAGGAGGAGGAGAGGAGGAGGAGGAGGAGGAGGAGCTGGAGGAGGAGGAGGAGCAGGAGGAGGAGGAGCAGGAGGAGGAGGAGGAGGAGGAGGAGGTCTCTCCTCGAAGCTGGCGCCCCCAAGATACCCAAATTTCTCAGCGTTGGGTGCCGAAACGCACGACCTGAGCTTTTCCGTCGGCGTCCGCGCCGACGCCGCCGAGGCATCGCCGACGTCGCCGATGCCTCGCCGCTGCCTCGGTGATGCATCGACGATTCGGCGTGACCCTCCGGCCCCATCTGCTCCGACCACACCCCAGAGTGGACCCTCAGAGGTCTGGGGCCCCTCCCCGGGGACGGGGTCTTCCTCCCGAGCCGTTTTGGTGACGGCCCCGAGGCCCGGGAAGGGCCACCGGAGGTCGAAAGCAGCGAAGACGTTCCGTCGCGATGTTTTTTTTCGCGACGCGAGGAGGCCTGGGATCGGGGAGGCCCCCTCGGCGCCTGTTTTTCCGCGCAAGCCCTCTCCACGGAGGCGCTGACCTCCGAGTGGGCTCCGCGTCCGCAGAGAGAGAGTGCCTCCTCCCTCGGAGGAGGGCCCCGGGGCGCCGACGAGGCGGCGCGCCCTGGCGCCGGGGAGAAGGGCTTCGGGGTGCTGCTCAAGGACCGGGGTGCCCCAGGGCGGCGAGGTGAGCACAGCGTGGGGCGAGTCGGAGCCCAGAGCCCCTCGAGCAGTGAAGAGAAATCCCGACGGGAGGTGTTTCGCCGTCCTCGGCCTCGGAGGGCCCTTACCGGGCCTCGGGAGCGTCCAAGAGCTACTCGGGACGAAAGCCGGTCCTGGGGAAGAGGTCGAAACCTCTTGAGGGTCGACGTCATGAAACAATTATGACGTCGGGGGTCTGGAGAGGGGGCTCTCGCCAGGAAGGGAGCGGGCCCTGAGGGCAGATTCGGATGCTTTTCGGCCGCTCCTGGAGGTTCTCGTCGTCGCGGCTGGGCGCAGCTCGAACGTTTGGCCAGGGTGGGCCTCGAGATGGGTACGGGAACAGGTGTAAACGGTTGTGATGTTTCGCCACGGCAAGAATGGGTCCTGAGGGAAATTGGCCCTGAGATTTGCGTCCGTGTTTTGCCTTCCACTGGGTCCTCCGCGCTCTGGGGATTGTCCGAGAACGACTGTCAGGACGAGAGACGGGTGTTTTGGGGGAGGGCCCAGGGTTCAGGACCCGTTTCCTTCCAGACATTGTTTGTTTCGTACCAGGTTCGGGGTGAGCGCACGGTGTTGGGATCTGGGTCGTTCTTCCAGGATGTCTCGGGCGACCGTGGCTCCCACGGGCCCCGAGCCCTTGCAGTGACGGACCGCGCGGTCGGGCGGCAGCTTCGGTATATAACTCGAGGTCCCCGCCCGGACGGCCTGCCGCCGCACCTTCTTTGCGACCCCCAGAAAAGCAAGGGCTCCCCCGAGGGCGCGAAGTTATTCGCGCTTCGCGCTTCGCGGTCCTCGTTTCTCCTCCCCCTCCTCCTCGTCCTCCTTTTGTCCCTTTGGGGGGGCGGCGCGAGAGCGCGAAGTTATTCGCGCTTCGCGGAGCGCGAAGCGCGAAGTTGGGAGCCCTCGCAGAAAAGGATGCCGTCGACGACTCCGAGCAGTTCGTGGGGGAGATCGCCGACGACACCACGGCGTGCGGGACCGAGGGCGTCCTGTCTCCCAGGACCCCGGGCGCTGTGAGCCCAGGGAGGTTCGATGTCGTGGGCATCGTCGCAGGCGCAGCCCAGGCATCGAGGAAGAAGCACGGTGGCGCAAAGACAAACGTCCTCCGAGGTTCTCGAGGAGTTCTTGAATCGGTGCTGGACCCTACTCCCTGGCGCGCCGCCCGCGGCGCGATCCGCGCGCCAGCGAGTGGGGTCCAGCACGGATCAAAGAAATCCACGCGGACCTCCAGAGTTTATGCTTATGAACTTGCTCGTTGTCTCTCAAGGCAGCCGAGCGGCCCGACTTCACAGGCTCCTGGCGCTGCATCCGGGTGGAGGGCGAAATTCATCAGTTTCTCATTGACATGGGCATGTCGCCCATAAAGTGCGAGGCGGCGAGAACTGCCCGGTACGGAGCAGGCTACCAGTTACAGACGATATCTCAGGACGGCGACCACTTTTCCGTGATTGACCATCTGAAGACGACTAACACGATGACGTGTCAAATTGGCCTTGGCCCTCAAACATCCTGCGACTTGGAGGGCAGGAAGGTCACCATCACGCCAACGTGGGACGGCCAGACCCTTTGCGTCGAGACCATGACTGGAAGTGGAAAGCTGTTTGCGACCAGCCGGCGCTTCTATGACGGAGACGAGATGGTGTTGGAAATCACATCGCCCAACGGCACCACTACAAGGCGCATCTTCTGCAAGAAGGATTCGACGAAGCCGCCTCGCGCGACTTGTTCGACACGGCTTAGCATATCGACCGTGACGTCATGAGTGCGAGTTGGAGGCTTACTCAAGGAACAACACGTGTCTTTTGATGATAATCCCGCCGCAGGCGTGCTCAATGCTTGCATGGGGCCCGAGACGGTGCCGTTCGGGGAATTTGATGAGCAGCCCGATGTGGAGACGTGAGTGGGGCTTCTCGTGGACGTCCTGTCTGCCCAGAGGCTTCGAGCCAGGCAGAGGCAGAAGTTGATCCGAGCGCGGACGCTTTTTTTGTTGCGAGTCACCGGTGGCGAGTCGCCCAGTAAGGTGGCACGCACGCCATGGCAACCAGTGCGCGCTCGCGGGGACCAGAGCCCCCACTGGTACGAGCGAACCTCGACTGAAATCGAACTTTACCCCCACCTGGTCATTACAGTCTTTGCTTCTGCAGGCTGGTGTTCATGAAATGATTGAAAGGCCATTTTGCTTTCTCTCCATGGCGACATCGGGTGTCTGACCCGACGTCGCCATCATTCCTGCGGGTTCGCATGCACTGCTACATACTGTGTGACCTCACAGGACCTTGTGCCAACAGACCTGCTAGTGTAGATATACGGGGCGACCGTCGCCGGGCTGTTCCGTTCATATTTCCTGCCTCTTGAAAGTTCTTCCTCTCTTATCTATTCAGCTACCCGAGGCAAGTACCGCCACCGTGCCAGCCCAGCATTCTGAGTGGCGATTGTTCGAGGCGTCACGGGAAGCCGCCTCCTCTGACACGTCGTGTGAGGAAGGTGAGGGTTACGAGGATGATAGGGGATATGATGGAGGAGGGAGGAGGAAGAGGAAGGCCGTCTCATGTGACACCTTTCGTCTTCACTGGGTGAGAAGCTCTCATGGATCTCGTTTGTGCCGTCTGGGGGCTGTCTTGGCCTCCTGTGAGGCGCAGTCCTGGGGGCCCCTTGGGTCCTCTTTGTGAGGAGCTCTCACGGATCTCGTTTTGGCCGTCTTGGGGCTGCCTTGGCCTCCTGTGAGCCCGTCGTGGTTGGGGGTCCCCATGGGGTCCTCTTGGGCCGTCCTGGGTCCCTCTCACGCAGTCTTGAGGCCCCTCTGGGCCGTCTTGGAGCCCTCTCGGCCGCATGGTGGATGTCTGGGGGCCGTCGGGCCGTCGTGGGGCCGCGTTGGCGCCGTCCTGGCGCCGTCGAAGGGCCTTCGAAGGCAGTCTTGGGTCCCACTGGAGGCCCTCGTGGGCCATCTTGGGGCCGTCTGGGATACCTCTTGGGCCACCGTGGGGTGCCCTTGGGCCATGCTGGGGTGCTCTGGGGGAGCTCGTGGGGCATCGTGGGGGTCCTCTTGGACCTTCTCGAGCCCACGGAAGCCTGCGAAGGAGAGATTGCGACCAGGCATAAGTCGAAGGGGAATCAATGATGTTGGTTTCTTCAGACCCTGTTAGGGGTCCTCTTGCGGACTGTTTGGGCCCGTTTGAATGCATCTTGGGCCGTCTTGGGGCCATATTCGGCCGCATTGGGGCCATCGTGGGCCGTCTTCGAGCCATCTATTGAGCCACCTTGGTTGCCTTTGTTGCCTGCCTGAACGGTCTTGGAACCTGGGGACGCGGATCCACAGTTTCTCACTCATGATCGTGGCTTCGGGAGCGCGGATCCATTGCTTGTCGTGATGGGTCGGCGCGTCGGTAATAGGGGCGATGCTCGCGCGAGTCGCGGCCGTGGGGGGCTGGGCCCTTAGATGAGTACAGAACCCCTGCCAGACAGCAGTTGCATCCTACCACGGCTCAACGTGCCACGAGGCACGGTTGCGGATCTCGCCCGCCTAGTGTCCGCTTTGCCACGTCAGCGTCTCTCATCCTCGCGGTGCGCAGGTGTTCGGTCTCGAGGGCGGCGGAAGGACTCATCACGGTGCGGTGCAGGAGTCGTTCTCGTACTCTCGCCCCCTCTGTCCCCTCACGCTCTCCTCAGGCTCCTGAAACCCGGCGGCGCGCGCAAGGGGGCGCCGCCCCCTTGCGCGCGCCGCCCCCTTATTGGAAGGCTTATCGCCGCCGCGGCGATAAGCCTTCCAATAATGCCAGGGGCTCCTAAGAATCACCGAGCGCGTTCCACTACTCGCAGAGTGCCTACTCGCAAGCGTCCGAACAAACACACATGTCTGCATCGACGTGTAATGTATCGTAGATCCCCCTATGGCGGATCCGGGCATTTGTGAGCAGTTACTTTGCGAGTAGTGGAACGGGCTTGTCTGACGAGGGCAAGACGTTTCGCAGAATCCCCCCATGGCTTCCAGGAGGGCTTCTTCTCTGAGCCCCCTGGCGTGCCAGTCCTCCCCGCCCTCTTCGGAAGCCGCCCCCCTGCCGCGCATCCCCCCCCCTCGCGCGCTCCGCCGGGGAGTTGTGCTCGGAGAGCTCAGGGCCACGAGTCCGTCCCGCCTGTTTTTTCTGATGAGCCCACGTTCTGCCACCACTGCCACAGGTTGGCGAGGGAAGAGGACGAGGAGGAGGAGGAGGAGGAGGAGGAGGAGGACCTCCTCATCCTCCCTTCTCCCCCGTCCTGCGTATGGTAGCGATGGTGGAACATTTGCCGTAATTTTCCGCACCAGAGTGGTCCACCAGCGGTGGTCTGTGACCTCGTCGGGGCCAGGCTGCCCGTGCCGCGGAGGGTGGCATCTGGTGCTGTGCTTTTGCGTGTGATATCGTGTGGCTGCCCCTCGACCGCTGCTGCCGTGTGACCACAGAGCCCCGGCTGCCAGAGCATCGGCACTTCTTGGTGCGACAGGTCACGTGGTCGCCGCAGAGGGTGCCCGTAGGCTGGACGTTCTGAGGACAACCTCCCAGCCTCCTCGACATCCCACCCCCTTGTTTCTCAAGTCCCTTTCGGCCCCCTCCTCGCTCTCTCGCTCCAGACTGCTAAGCCGAGCGTTCGTCCGCACACTTTTCGAAGCGCCGCAGTGCTCCGTGGTCTCTCGAGGCCACGTCGTCTTTTAACAGGCATGCCCGTTCTTTTAGCGCCCTTCTACACTTCGGTGAGATTTGCTGCCGTCCCAGAGCCGGTGCCCTTTATATAATCTCGTAGCACTTCTGCCCAACGTGCAGCCTCTGCAAGCGTGCGGTAGGTCAGATGTGTGCGGTGGGCGCCCTGGACGAGGCGCTCCCGCGGCCCTGCCTGCATCTGCCCTCTCCCTTCCTGGAGGTCTTCCTCCTTCCTGGCAGTCCCAGGGTGGGTCACCATTCCAGTCAGTGGACCAGTTTGCTAGCCAGAGATTTGATGAGGTGTGTCCGTCTACATCCCCAGGGCGAGAGTTGTTTCCTCTTGGGCCCGGGACGACGGTTTGGCGTCTTGAGCCGACGCGTATAAGATAACCGCCGTCGGATCCAACCAATTGTGCGAGGATCCAATTCGGGGTTATTGTTTATGTTTCGGTGGATCCACATTCCGCCCGCACGGATCCGGTTTCTGATGTTGTGGGTCCGATGTCCGTCCTGTTTGTTCACGCGGATCCGACTACTACCCCGTTAGAAATTCAAACTTATTATGTTAAAACGGAGAATCGGAAGACATATCCGCGGACCCCACAACCACAACCCGCCCGTGTTAAGATTCTAGTGGGAGGGGGTTCGGTTATCAATTTCCCAGGGTGGGTCCTGCTCTGTCTCGCGCACTCTCATCACTTCTCCGCGCGCGCGGGCCCCGATCATTGTTGATTCAAACGGCTCGCCCAGACGCCGTGCGTTCAACGGCGCCGTTGCTGCCTCGCGAACCTTTCGCCGTTTTCACCTCAAGAGGAAATCTTTCGTCCTGCATAAGTAATGACTATAGTTAGTTGAGGCCGTGGCTGCTAGCTGCCCACCCAAATCCGCCCGACCGACCGACCGAACGAACGAACAACGACGGACGGCGACGACCGACGAATGACAACGACGGCGACGGCGACCGACCGACCGAACGAATGACCGAGCGACTCAGCGGCCGAGCGACGAGCGACGGCGACGACGTTGACCGACGGCGCCGGCGTGATATATGTCAAAGTCGGCCGTGTTGAAGGCGGAAGAAAAGCCACCCGGACCGTCTAGTCCACGCTCCAGGGCAAGGCCACCTTGCGGCTGCCAGTCTCGACCGCGACCTCGCCCGCCAGGGCCCGAAGATTCCTGACCGTATCGCGCTTGCGCTGGTTTGCTGGAATCGACGCCATGGCGCGCTCTGACAGCGCGCCACTGGAGCCAATGCGGCTACGGATGCAGCGAGGTCGAGAACATGACGCTGGACCCAAGCAACTGCCCGATATCACGCGCCTCGTCAACAGTTCACTACCAACAGCAGTCCACTGAGTGCAGTGGGGGCAATCACTTCCTTCCGCGGCGAGGTTCCATGATCGCAGCCCGAGGAGGGGTCCGGGGTGTCTGGGGTCGTTGCGGAAGGCTCCGGGGTGCTCCAGGGGGCCCGCTTCCTCGAGGACGTCGCGCCTCCTCGAGGAGCTGGCGCCCCTCCTGGTGGCGACCCCCTTTTGGCGTCGCCCCGCTCCGCCCCGCTCCATCTCCTCCTCCTCCTCCTCCTGCTCCTGCTCCTCCTCCTCCTCCTGGTCCTCCTCCTCCTTCTCCTCCTGCTCCTCCTCCTGCTCCTTCTCCTCCCGCTCCTCCCGCTCCTCCTCCTCCTCCTCCTCCTCCTCCTCCTCTCCTCCTCCTCTCCTCCTCCTCCTCCTCGGGTACCTTTTCCTCCTCCTTCTCCTCCTCCTCCTCTTCCTGCTCCTCCTCCTCCTCCTCCTCCTCCTCCTACAGGGTACCTTAACTCCTCCTCCTCCTCCTCCGCCTCCTCCTCCTCCTGCTCCTCCTCCTCCTCCTCCTGGGTTAAACCGGGTTAGGATGACCCTCTCGGTTCAACAACCGCTGCCTCAAGGGTGGCCCCGATCGGCGCCACCCGCTGCCTCAGCGGTAGCTCCGACCGGCGTCAGATGGCAACTGCGCCACCGCGGGCTTCGCCTCCAGAGTGCACGCCAGCGCCTCGGCCTCCGAGCGGCCAGCCGGCGCCCGGATCCACCAAGGCCCCACGACTAGGCCTCCCAGGTGGTGTCGGAGTGGATGGAGTCGGAGGATCGCGCCGCATCGCCGATGCATCGGCGATGCGGCTCGATGTGGTGCCCAATTTTCTTCACCCCGACGTCACCGATGCATCGGGGATGCGGCGCGGTCCTGATGCCCCATCCACTCGGACCTCATCTAGGATGGGGTATAGCCCGGACCCCGTGTAAGGGGAGCCGGTTGGTGATTGGGCCCCGAGGCCCAAACAATTGACCGGAATGCCTAGGCCAGGTCTGCCTCAGCCGGTGTTTCTTCGGGCGGCAGCAGCCCCGGTTAGTGGGCTGGGGCGCGCGGGGGGGCGCCCCCGGTGCGCCTCGTACTAAACCAGGTCCCACCAAACCCAGTGCTGCCAACGCCCGATAGGAGGTCGGGCGACGAAATCTATACATATCCACTGCTCCCTGACCATGCCCATCTTGAACCCAGGAGCTGTGTATGCGCCCTCCCGGCCAAGCCAGGAGGGCGTGGCGTATACACCGCTGCGGGGTTGAGGATGGGCCTGGCCAGGGAGCAGTGGATATGTATAGATTTCGTCGCCCTAGGAGGTCTCCAGAAAGAGGAGGACAGAAGACGAGGGAGGGGAGGCGGGAGGGCGCGCGCCCGCGGTAGCCCTCGGCCCCGCTGCGGTGGGCCCGCGCCGCGGGGGCGCGGCGGTGCCGCGACTCGGTGCGGGCGCCCGAGGCCGAAGGCACCCTGGCGGTGGAGAGCCGAGCGGCCTCCGCTGCTGGGGCTCTTGCGGGAGGTCGCTCAAGACTGAAGGATCTACGGGCGGGAACTGTGGCTCGGCATGTCGCTCCGCCCGTCCTGGCCCCACCACGCCTCGGCGCGGACCGCCATGCACTTCCTGGTGCCCCCGCGTCAGCGTCCCGGACTTTTCGCCCCCCCCCCGCCCCGCGGAGTTGAGCAGCACGCCAGCCGCCATCCCCCTGGCAGGCATCGCGTGTCGCCAGGGCCGCCGCCCCGACACGCACATCGAGGAACGAATGCTGTTTTGCGGAGCGTGCGGCGATATCGGGCATTCCCCCCCAGGTAACCTGACCTTGTTGGCTACGCAGGTCCGGAGGGGGTGCGCAGTACTGGTGCGCGCGGGCATTTTTTTGGTCGCGGCCGCGAGCGAAGAGCGCAGGCGGCGAACAGGGTGTCCGGGCCGACGGGCAAGCCTAATTAGCTACAAGACGCGCCGCTAGCCGGCCGGCCCACTCACTAAGCAGCCGCGGGGCTGTGCGGGAAGCACGCGCGGGCATACGTGGGGCTACCTGAAGCGAATTGGTGGGGTTATCGGCCAGCATTTCAAACTAAATCTATGATTTCGAATACTGGCAGAAGCATTCATTTTCGGAGGTCCGCGCTGACCTCTTGGGTCGCCGCTGTGCCCCCCTCCCTGGAGCGCTCCGCGCGCATGGGGCGGCGCCAGTTGCGCCGCCAGGGGGCTCCAGCGCTGATCTGAGAAATCCGCGCGGACCTCCGAAAGTTTTCGTGCTCGCTCCCCGACTACGATCGGGGAGCAAGACGAGTATCTGTAGCACGTTGCCGTGGGAAATCCATCAGCGTGTTACTGAGGCCTTCTCACGAAAGCGAAAGAGTAACACACACTGACGGGCTACCTGCGGCAGCGTGTCATTGATAATATTTCTGCATTCCATTGAACGGTGTCGGAAACGTCCACGTCCACTCGACATCAATTTGCCGCCGTTTCCTCTTCTTGCAGGTTCGGCCTTCAGTGCTCCTTGAAGCGTGCCCTCATTCGCCTGCTTCGAGCAAGAGCTCGGACTGCTTCGTGATTAGCCCCACGAGGCCACATCTACACTTTCGGGCCCAAAGGTTGCTAGCCTCTTCGAAGGTTTTTCCTTTGCATCGTCTGCACAGTTATTCTCGACGCTTCGCGTACGTATCCCCACCAGGCCATCCAAGAAAGAGGCCAAGGCGAGGTGTCTGGAACAAATAATGAGAAGCGTATCGTAACACGAAAATGCCCGCAATCGTGCAGTTAGATACCTCTTGGGGCCTCTTGGCGCCAACTCGGTGTGCTCTTGGTGCCGTGATGGAAGCATTGGAGGCCGTCTTGAGGGCTTGCCTAAGGCCCAAGGTCCTTCTGGAGGCATTGGATGCCGTCTTGGGACCAGCCGTCGAGGAGGGCATGGATAGGCAAAGAGGGAAGATGCAATTGCCCTCTCCCCCGTCGACATCTCTTGGAGGGTAGGGGGGCGCCCTTGCAGCCTTCTGGGGGGCCTCTGGGGCCGCGGGGGCCCCTCTCTTTAGGCTCGCATCGGCGAGCTCGGAGCCATCTGGATGCCCCCGACGCCCACCGGAAGCGCAAAGGCGGGCAGGTAATCCTCGCTGAATCACGTCCGGTGTTTTTGGAGAATCCTTGGGAAGCGCCGCTGCCACCTCGAGCCGTCCTGGTGCCGTCTTCACACCTCTTGCAGGCAGGCTTGATGCCAGCTCGAACCATCGTACGGGCAATCCAGTGCAATGTATGTGTGTGGCTATCGTGAACGATGTGGGTCTTCTAGGAACAATCTAAGCGAACACAGGACCTCAGACGCCTAGCGCCCCCCCGTCCAGACTCCAGGGGATGGGGTGTGGGATAGCTCACCCCCCGAAGAGGAAGTAGAGGGTTGGAGGAGCTAGATCTGCAAACCGTGTACGCCCAGGGCGGCGTGGCGGGATCTGGTGCTGCCCCGCAGCCCTTTGTGGCGTGGCCTCACACCTAATTATCATGTCGACGCGCTGGCTGCTGAGAGTGCGATAGGTCGGCTGTGCTTGTGGGGCCGCCGTAGATGCAGAGTGCTCCAAAATCATCCCTCCCCCGTCGTGACTTCCCTCCCCCTCCCCTCCCTCGGAGCCTTTTAACTTTCAAGTCCATGTGCGGGGTCGAGCGCTCCCTGGGGGGGGGTGAGCGGGGAGGAGGGCATGCTTGGAACAGATCACGTCGTCGACGGCCGGGGGCGTCTTGACGGGGGGGCGGTAGTCCTCCTCCTTCTCCTTCTCCTCCTCCTCCTCCTCCTCCTCCTCCTCTTCCTCCTTTCCTCCTCCTCCTCCTCCTTCTCCTCCTGCTCCTCCTCCTCCTCCTCCTCCTCCTCCTCCTCCTCCTCCTCCTCCTCCCCCTACTCGCGATCTCCCCCCCCCCGCCCTCTCTTCCTTCCATCATATTCCTCCTGCCCTCCTGATCCTCCTCCTCCTCCTCCTCCTCCTCTCCTCCTCCTTCCTCCTCCTCCTCCTCCTCCTCCTCCTCCTCCTCCTCCTCCTCCTCCTCCTCCTCCCTCTTCCTACTGACGCTCGAGGGAGGGGAGGGGAGGGTTGGGGATAGGCCGTGGGGAAGGCCGAGGGGGGGAGAGGGGCCAGAACGGGAACGGACCAGGAGACGAAGAAGGTGGAGGAGACCGAGCTGGAGAAGTATGGGCAGGAGGGAGAAGACCAGGTGGAGCAGAAAGAGAAGGGGGGATGGGGAGGAGGAGGGGTCCACGGAGGAGAAGGGTGGCGCCCGAGAAGCGGGGGAGGAGGACGGTTTTGACGAGGAGCGGGGGAGGAGCACAAGGAACAGGGCAAGGAGGTGGATTGTCCAGCCTCCTCGCTCCCCCTCCTTCCATCCTGCCGGCCTCGTCGCCTCGCCCCCCCCCTCTTCCTTCCCATCCTCCCTCAATTTCCCTTCACCTTCCTCCGCGTCCTCCACATACTCCCTGCCCCTCCTCCTCGTCCTCATCCTCCCAGTCTTCTCCCCTCGCCCTCGCTGCTTCTTCTCCTCCGCTCCTTGCCCCTGCTCCTCCCCCTCCTCCTCCTCCTCCTCCTCCTCCTCCTCCTTTTCCTCCTCCGTCCTCCCATCCATCCCTCCCCTTCCGCCCCCCTCTCAGCGTCCTTGAAGCGCCATCTCAGATGCAGCGCTCGCCGAGCTAGCCAGCACTGCAAGGCGGCCACTCGGGCGCCGACATCGACCCTTTGCCCCAATCCCAGGGTCGAATTATGTACGGGGGCCAGAAGATTCGAGAGGAAGTTTCTCTCTGTCCCTCTCTCCCTGTGTATGTACATATATAGATGTTTGTATGTATAGATATGTGTGCACACGCATGTACACCTATACATATATACACACCCATTGCATGAGTGCATCCCTCTTGGGCCGTCTTGGGGCCCTCGTCGGCCGTCATGGGGCAGTCTTGGAGGCCTCTTGGGCCGTCATGGGGGCACCTAGGGCCATCGTGGGGCGATCTTGGGAACCTCTTGGTCCATCTCGGAGCGTCGGAAAGCCGAGAAGGCGAGAAGGCCAAAAACTTTAACAAACAAACGTTCGGAAAATCTGTGGTATTCGCTTCGTAGGGTTCTCTTGGGAAAGTCAAGCCGACAATGTAGCGATAACTCCTTGTTGCCTTTTCCGGCATCGCCGCTATGATAATGTTACTCGTTATCTTTCCTCCATGCTTTTTTTCCTCATGTTCGCCATACCCTGGGCATTCTCCCTATCCTCCTCAGCTTTTCTTTGCGGAGGCTCGTCCTGGGAGAGTCTCTGGGGGCCTAAAAACATGTGTCAGGCTTTCTTAAGGCCTTCTTGAGGCCTCCCGGGGGTATTCTGGGGGCCTCTGGGGGGGTTTCCTCGGGCCACCCTGCCTCCAACCACGGTCTCCCTGAACGACCGGGTCACGATTTGGAATGCTTCGGAGGGTGTCTTGGGGCCATCTTGGGCCGCCATGGGGCTCTCTGAGGGCCACCTCGGACCCGTGTTGTGCCGTTTTGGGGCTCTCTTGGACAGCCTGGAAGCCCTTTCGGATGGTTGTGGGGCGATCTTGGAGCCTCCCAGGCGGCTTCGGACGCCCAGAACACCGCCGTCTTGGAGCGTCGGGAAGCCGAGAAGAGGAGAACCCCAAAAATCACCAAAAACTATCAGAAAATCATTGCCTCTTGGGGGTGCTCTTGGAGGCCTCTTTGGGGCCGTCCTGGAGGCCTCTTGGGCCATCTTGAGGTCACGTCGGTCACTCTTGGAGGGCTCTTGCGCTGTCATGGGGGTCTCTGAGACGTCTCCGATGACCCCCCTGATCGCCCTAGTTGTGCTGGGAAGGCTTGGCAAAACGCCCTGCGAGGCCAGGGGGGCCGCTTCGAGGCCCGTCCGGAGGGTCTCAAAGCCCCAGATCCCGGGAGTCCGTTTTTTTTTTTTTGGGGGGGGGGGGGGATGGGTTTTCCCCCCGCCCGGGCTTATAAAAATATAGGAAGAGGAATATATATATATATATATATATATATATATATATATATGTATATATATATATATATCAGCACATACATACATACATACATACATACATACATACATACATACATACATACATACATACATACAACCAAACAAACAACCAACCAACCAACCAACCAAGCATACATACATACATACATGAATGCATGCATACATGCATACAGGCATACAGACATACAGGCGTACATACATGCATGCATGCATACATACATACAGACAGACACATACATACATATACATGGTTGGCTGGCCCTCGAGGATTCGCACGAAACGCTTTTGTCAACTCTCCCTTTGTGTGGATATACAATTCTCGGCCATCGGGGCTGGAGGGGATGCATCGATCCACTCGTCAGCCCGTTGTCCCTAACCCTGTTGTTGGCGCGGACCAGCTCGCTTATTGCAGTTCGGCGACTGTGAACTGTTTCCTCCTCCCCCTCCTCCTTCGCCTCACCCGCTCCTCCTCCTCTTCCTCCTCCTCGTCCTCCTCGACCTTCGCCTTAAACCGAACGATCTGGGCAAGTTGCAAGATGGTCCGTTATGATTCAAAGATGACACCTGGGGCCCTAGTAGTGCCCAATGTAGAACCAATGCGCAAGCATGACCTTGCAGCTACTTTCGTATGTTTTCTTCCAGGCAAGGTAGGTCCTCATCGGCGCGGCCGCACTACGTCGTGGCCAAGTGGCCCCAAGACGAACAAGTTCCAGGTGCCAGATGCAAACCTTCTAGGTGCCACTTCGAGCGGTGTAGGCTAGGATGGGGGACAGCCCGTCCCCGTGGGGCCATCCCCTGGCATGCGTAAACTCCTCCCCGAATTTCCTCGCGCTGCGGGCAACGCGGCGATCGGTTTGGGACAATTGTTTCCGCCTCCGCGGGAGCCTGTTTTTTTATACATTGGCAAGTATACTTGCATGGAGGAAGGAGGGCTGAACCTGAAGCAAGCCGCTAACGACTTGACGTGCGGAAATCACGCAAGTCGAAAGGCATTTGCACGCTCGTATTTGATTGAAGAGGGGCGAGGGGTGGGGGTGTGTGGGTTGGCAGGGTGGGGGGGCTCCGGGGGCCCCCGAGGCCGCGCCCAGGAGTTCTGGCATCTCTGAAGTTACTTGCATGGAGGGGGGGGCTGAGCCTGAAGCAAGCCGCAAACGACTTGCCGTGTGGAAATCACGCAAGTCGAAGGGCACTTGCACGCTCGTATTCGCTTGGAGAGGGGCGAGGGGGGTGGAGGGGAGCGAACGCCATGCAAGTAAATTCGCCTGCATCTGAAGAGACACGGGCTCCAGACTCCCGCCCGGCCCCCCGGGGCCGTCCACAGAGGAGTCAGGACGAGGAGGCGGTCCCGCGGGGTGATGGGCCCAGGCCAGCGGACAACACCGATACGACGCGGGAGCTCTCTGGGTGCCTCCGCTCTCTCTCTCTCTCTCTCTCTCTATCCGTCCCTCGGGTTTCCCGTCCCTCCGTTTCCAGACCCTGCCCTGTGGGAAGACCTCGACATCGTTGGTCTGATGATCTCCAGAAGTTCTGATCTGCGAAACGGCATCAACCCAGACCCCCGACGTCATGATTTTTTCATGGCGTCGAGCTCCAGAGGTTTCGACCTCTTCCCCAGGACTGGTTTTTCGTCCCGAGTCGTTGTTTGACGGTCCCGAGGCCCGGTGAGGGACCCCAGAGGCCGAAAATGGCGAAAAGCTTCCCGTCGCGATTTTTTTTCATGACTCGAGGGGGTCTGGGTCTGGCGCGTCGTCGACCTCTGTACCGCTCGGCTCCGCTCCCTCCCCGCAACGCCTCCTCGCCCCCCTCGCTGCGGCCCCGGCCGCCCCGGAGGGTGGCCAGGCCACCCCCGCCCCGCGCGCCCGCCAGGTGCGATAACTCCGGCAGCTGCCTCGACTTCGCCCCAGCGTCCCGCCCCCCAGGAAGACCGGCGGTCTCCGAGGAGGAGCAGCAGTAAGTCCATGTATTAGGGGGACGAATATACTGACAGAAACATGAAATAACTCGGAGGTCCGCGCGGATCTCTCGGATCCGGGCGGACCTCAGAGTTTTTATGTTTATGCAAATTTTCGTGCCAGTAATGGACTCCGATGCCGGCAGCCGCAGCCACAGAAGGGGGATATGCACGCGGCCATGCAAGGCGGCCGTCGAGAGCCGTCGAGCAGGAGAGAAAAGGCAGAGATGCCCTGGCGACGAAGCACCCCTAGAGCAGAAAGAGGGGGGGAAGAGGCGGGTCGAGGAGCAGGAGAGAAGTACGGCCAGGAAGCCCTTCTGAAAGAGAAGCAATGAAGCCGGCGGGCAGGGGGGGGAGAGCATGGCCATGCGTACGGTGCTTCAGCGCTTCGTTGGCAGGGATCTGAGGAGCCCATGTCCCACTACCACTACCCTATGCAGGACGGGGGAGAAGTGAGGATTGGGAGGTCCTCCTCCTCCTCCTCCTCCTCCTCCTCCTCCTCCTCCTCCTCCTCCTACAGTCGGCCCAGATTAGTAGGTCGACCCTGCCAAATCAAGGGTACTCTTGTGTCCTGTGTCTCGCGACCCACGCCTCGCACATTCCTGTGGCAACGTGGCCATCGGAAGGGTCTCGTGTTCTCTCGCGTGTCCTGTCCAGTGAAGTCCGACTGCACCTCTGGTAGTGGTGGTGGGAAACTGTACCTATCAGGATCGGGATCGTGGCCGTCCGGACCGAAAAAATGTGGCCGGTACCTCCCGCGAGAGGGCACGATGCTTGAACAGGTGTCTTGGTATCGCTCGGACGTGTGCTCTT